GCATGTCTACGTCAAATCTCGACTTCCTAGGTGCTAGGGGAGATAATTTAATCCACGCGTAAAAAAGTGGACCGCTAAATGTTTTGACGAGTGTACAAACAAAAATTGATTTGTTGCGTTAAGTAACTTATAACCGGTAACGTAACGAATGTAATTTTACAAAAATGTAACTTATTTATTATTTCGCTAGCCCTGCGAGATGCTCCCCAATATCCCACGTTATTGATTTCATGAGCTATAAGCCGAGCCCCTTGCACTGAAAGACCGCTAAAAAACTACTTCCTCAAATACGTTATTTCTCCAAATGCTGTGTAACGTAAATGGCTTCAATTAAGTTACGTTACAGTAACGTAACAAAATTATTTACGGGCATTCAAATTCGTGCCGGGAACTTGTAACGACAATACGTTAAGTAACGGGTGCCTGCCTCCAAGTACCTCCTTAGGTGGACCTGCCGATCTGCTGCTAGGGATTTCCCACCGAGGTGCTACTTCCCGAGGCAAAGTAATAGCCTGAATGTTGTCTAAATCTTGACGAGGGTGACGGTTAATTAGTAGGTAAAGCGCAGTGTAACGGCAGGTCATCGTCAGTCAATCAGTAGTCTATCGGTAGCCAAACCGCAGCCAAACGGCTGACCATCCTCATCGACAAACGGCAAACAAACGTCAGACAACCCACAGTCAGGCTACAGTCTATCCGCAGTGTATCCTCAGCCCAGTTAGACTGAAGATTGACTGCCGATTGTCTGCGGATTGGCAACAAGTTACCAGACTTTGGCGCCTTAGACAATCTTCAGACAATATTTTGCAAGGGATGAAAATGAAAACAATCGACTTGGCCGGGCCGCTGTCCCAGGGACGGTACCGAACCCCGGCCCCCGGAGTGGAAGTCGGAGTGCTTGCCCCCTTGGCCAGAGAGAGGTCGCGGGGAGACGAGCTCGGCGACGGCGGTAACGCCCCAGGAGGGCGGTGGCTGCAACAACAGTGGCGGAGCGACGCGCTGGCGCTTGGAGCCGGTCCCCAGCGCCTGGTGGGGTGGGTGTGCAGTCCCGGTTGGAGCCGTGCGGGCGGGTTGCATAGTACAAAAGTGTGCGGGGTTAATCAGCCACCTGGTATATTTAACCGCCTACACTTTAGAAAATTCAAGTCGTACAAACGACGCGCCGCCGACCGTGTTGACGAAATAGTTTGTTCCGTTTGTTCACTTTGTCCACTCACCCCCATGATCTTGAATGGCCCCATCTTCGGGGCGTTCGACGTAGGTAAATTAACTGTCGCCAGGTTTGCGACTCGGAAGGCCTGCTTCAGCTTCTCCTCGCTGATGTCCAGGCCCAACTTCTCCACAACCCAATCTCGGCTGCTAGACCACATGGCATCATTGAGTTCTTGCTTCATCTACAGCAGCAAAAACAAAAAAAAATACAGTAATGTGCCATAATATCGGACAAAATACAGAAAAAAGGCTAAAATTTGCCTATCTTAGCTAACTTTAGGCACATTTAAAACCCGACGCGGATTGGAAAGGCAAGCGCCCATACTTTAAATGGAATTTTCGTCCATTGCAAAATGTAATCCTGAAGCGTGCGTAGGGATAATATTGTTTCTACAGATGAACAAAATAAAAATGTGTACACACTAAATGCTTATGAACTTTTTTATTCGCAGTTATGAACAATTTTATACGTAGCTTACTGAAATCTGTACGCGTGCTCTGTTACGGA